CCGTCAGGGCGGCTGCCGACCTGGTAAGAGCTCGGCCACCCGCCCAGCACGGCACGGCACCCCAAGGCGGCATCTCCTGCCAGCCTCCTTCAGCCAAAGCCATTCCCGCGGCTGTGCCTCCGGCCGGGATGAAAATTAATAGGGTTGGCCCCGACGAGTCGCCCTGGGAGAGTGGGGCGGGTGTTCAGGCGCCATGAACCCCGGTGGCTTCCCATGAGATTTGTGCTGATGCGTCTCTGATAGCACCTAAAACCCCCTCTTTTAGGCATAGAGGCATATTTATGTCAAGCTTTGGAAGGGCGGCAGGGCCCCCCCAACCTCCCCCGGACCGTGGGGATGCTGAGCCTGGTGACTCATGTCCCCCAGCCCAGCCGTGCGTCGCAGGGGGTGGCTCGGAGCGGGACAGACGCAGCCTGGCGAAGGCAGGACGGGAGATGAAAATGAGTGCCCTGTGGCCTGATGCCACGGTGATGGGCAGGAGGGGAAGGGGAGCTGAAGGGAGGGGACAGCCCTGCGCTGCTCCTCTCCCAGAGCGAGAGGAGCACAGGCACGTCGAGCGAGCAAAATAGGGAGGACGCTGCTGGGAGACCGCCAAGGGGACGTTGGGTTTTTGTGCCTGGGAGAGGGAGGGGACAGCCACCCAGCAGAGGCCGGGCAGGGTTCTCCAGCAAGCTCCTCGGTACCAGGTCTGGGGCTGGATGTATTCCCACGCGTGCAGCATGGCTGTCCGGAAGCTGCTGCCCTCTCCCTGCCCGCACCGTGAGGCCGCGTGCTCCCATCCCTGCAGCGCCCACTGGGGACGGGGCAGGAGATGGGGGAACACCTCAGTCTTCCACCACCACTGCCCCCGAGCCATGGCACAGCCCAGGCCATGTCCCTTCACCTCCATTCCTCCTGCCCCATGGAGGATGGCTGCGGGCTCGGTGCCATCCAGGGGAGAAGCCTGGTGTGTGACTGCAGATGGCCAAGTGAGATGCACAGCGTCACCTGCGGTGCACCGGTGTGGGGGGAAGGATGCTGCCCCGGGGAGAGGCAGTGCAGGGCTGGAGAGGCGCGGGGATGCC